GATGCAGAGGAAACAACATTTTTAAAAGCTCAAAGGTTGACAACACAGAACTGATTTTAGAGCAGATCAAGTGGAAGTTAATAAAGAAAGAGAAAGATTTCAAACAGGTACAAATGTAAAATGAAGATAGGAAAACACCCTCAACTAAGCTGCACTTTTATAAGTACCTATAAAATGGGGATCAAGTATCCCCTGCTTATGGTCAGTTCTCTTCCTTTGAGATCCACCCCAGGACAAAATTTCCCCAACACTCTCTGCCTTTCCAATTCTTGAAATAGGAAGTCCCTGAGATTCTGACCACCGAATTATAACATCTGAGCATCAGAAGGTACTATGGAAGGGTTGATATAATGAAATCCCTGTGTGGAGGTCTGAGGGGCAAAAGGAGAAGTTTCCTGAGATTCAAGGATGTGGGTATAATAACGATCACTCTTGATCGAGGCTATGCTTGGTCACCTAAGGAGAGATCAGGACCATGAACAAGGTAATCTTGGCTCTTTACCCACTAGCCACCAGTGGCCCTCTTTTCTCCCCTGAATGACCTATTAGAAAGAATGCCCTTCTGTAAACCAATTGTTATATACAGGAAATCTAACCAAACAGTTATAACATCATGAATAAGAATCAAAGGGCACCGATCCCTTTTGAAAACTCCACGTACTGACAGGAATGCAGAGCAATGCACCCCTACTCTGCTGGTAGGAGTACAAATTGGTATGACTATGTAGTGCAATGGTGAAAATATAGAACCTCTATGACTCAGCAAACCACTGCTAGGTATACATTCAGAAGAAGTGCATGCATGCAACCATTAAGACATATTCTAGAACAGTCAAGACAACATTATTTGTAATATCCTCAAACTACAGACTATCTGTGAAAGATTGCATTATGCTGCCTCAATCCTACATTGAAGATTCAATTTCTAAAGTGTTATATTTAGAGACAGAGCATTTACTGAGGTAGTAAGGTTAAACAGTTAAGGGTGGGGTCCTACTCAAGTAGAATTTCTGTCCTTATAAGAAGGAACACTAGAATGTCCTTTCCCTCTCCTCACTCTCTCTTCCCACACCCTTAAAAAGACCATGTGAAGACACAGAGAAGGCAGCTGTCTGCAAACCAGGAAGAGAGCATTCACCAGGAATTGAATCAGCAGGAACTTTTTCTGGAATCTCTAATCTTCAGAACTATGCCAAAATGAATTTCTGTTGGTAAAGCTACAACAGTCTACTTTGTTATGGCAGCCTGGGTGAATTAATATATTATCCAAGTGCCCCCAAACAGTAGAATGGGCAAATGATGGCACATTCACACCATGAAGGACTTTACAGAACTAATAATTAGCACACTGTGACCATGTACAACAAGCAAGATGAATCTCAAAGCATCTTGTTGGGAGAAAGAAGAGACAAGAGTGTATGATTCTGTTAATGTAAAGCACAGAAATCAGAAAACACAAACAAACAAAACAAAACAAAAAAAACTCCAGGCCCCAAGCATTGTGTTGTCTGTGAGTTTAGCCTTTTTAGATCATTGGTGACACTTCTCCTTTCCAAATGTTACAGAGAAAATGAGTATTATGTTATTGGTTTCTTTTTCAAATATTCAGTAAGCTTCCTATTTTTTGTTCACGTTTCACAGTATATACGGCGTTTTTCTTTTACACAGCTGCCCTCTGGTGGCCACTAGGAAAACTCACAGGTAAAGATGTGGATTGTCCCTAAAGCTTTGCTTTGATCCAATTTAATCTGATTTTTTTTTTCTTTTTATTGAGTTTCTCGGAAACAATTTAATCTGATTTAATCAGATCCAAGACTATTTGGGTACTTAAACACTATTTTTCTTCCTTTTAAGAGAAGTAAATTTTTTTTTATTCTAGAGTACAGAAGTGACTAGATGTTTTATGTTTTTACAGTGATGAAAAGAAATGGTGATCAGGATATTCAATATGCACTCTGCTGATGAATGGGAATTGATGTGCCTCTTTTGTAAAGTAAATGTGCAGAGTAGAAAAAGAGTAATTAGGAAAGGGCTTTGCCTTTGACCCAGGTTATCTTCTGCAAATTTGGATGTCATAAATAATATTCAAAATGAAAATAGTCACTCCTGAAGTTGCTTGTCAAACTGTGTCCATAAATGTCCAACAAGCCAATACAGATTGGGACAGGGGCTCTAGCAACATAGAAAATACACATGTCCTGTTGTTCAGACTCTACTTCTGAATCAAAGATGTGCATCACAATGCCTGAAAACTAAAAAAAAAGACAAAAAAAAGGATGTCCAGGCCCATCCAAGAAAATTCTATTTCACCTGAACCAGGAAATGGCCTGGCCATTGAAATTTTAGGAAACCCCTCTACGGGATTCTTCTATCTACACTTCTTATCAAAAAGTCTCAATAAAATGAGAAAATTAAAGTCAGATTCCAAGTGTCTTTTGTGTATAAACTTTTATTCCATAAGACATCTGAATGCATGTGGACTGGAAGGTGGAAGATAAAGGGCTTTGTATCTGAATGAGCTGGGCCCTGTATATGATATGTTCTATCTATCCTGTCAAGATACCTGCAAAACTTAGAATCCTTTCAAGGATGCTGGGACTGCAAGCAGTAAATAAAAGATGTAGTCGGGCTTGGTGGCGCATTCCTATAATCCCAGCACTCGGGAGGCTGAAGCAAGAGGATCGCTTTGAGTTCGAGACCAGCCTGGGCTACATAGTGAGTTCCAGGTCAGTCTCAACTACATAGTGAGAAACTGTCTCAAAAAACTTAAAAAAAAAAAAAAAAGAAGAAAAAAGAAAGAAAAGGTGTGTGTAATATCATTTAATATTATACTTTAAAATAAGTGATTTTTTTCCAAATATCAATGTAGAAATTAGGCTTCCGTGGCTTCTGAGTTAATGGAAATTTTCAGATTATTTGCATGTGGCACAGTCCTCTGAGAGCCATAAAGTATCCCAAGCATCTGTGATTTACCCCTTCCATGGCCACCTAAGCCAAAAGACTAAGCCTTGGGTTACATGCTGAGAGAACTAGACACCTTGGAAAAAGACCTCCTGCAGAAAGACACAAGACATAGGCCTGGTTTTGACTTGTTACCAATTCAAGGAGTGATCTTGAGTGAATCCACTGGCACCTCTGTGCTCACTGTACAATGAGATATCGGGTCCAAACCTACATGTTTTCAAGGATGAGGTAATATCAAAGAGAGAAAGGGGACAGGTACAGGGCAAAGAGGAATGGTGGGGAGCGTGGAAACTCCTAATCAATTCCTGTAGGTTCCTCCATCACAGTTGCAGGGGATTCTTCCTTGTGCAGTCTGTGCAGGAGGTAACACTTCAGAGAATGTGTCATTACCATCATAAGTATAGATGTTTATCAGCGGCTTCCTGGAAGGTATTTGTATAGGGCTTTAAAGAAGCAATACCTTCTAATATGCATAAAAATGTTCTATGGGCTGTCAGAAGTCCTAGTTATCATATGGGAATGCTGCTCTATTGTTTCCAGATTCTCTGGTTTTGTTTCTAGAGAAGCTGGAAATACAGAACTTAATATAACGTTCCTATAATAAAATTATCTGGCAACTAATCACAAAACATTTTTTAACACAGTGTGGACTAAATGAAACATGTCTGGGGCTCAGAGTCAGGTAATGAGTTGTAGATCTCTGGACCAGAGGAATTTGAAGTAACTTGCAGTTTAGAAACTCTCCTATTCTGTGTGAATCATGCATATTATTGAGGCAACTGCAAAGAAAAACTAATTACCCTCTTGAATTACATGTATAATAAGGCTTTACGCAGATATAAAAAGTAAGAGTGCATCCTTTGCATGATGGTATGTAAAACATTTTCCCTATCATGTGGATAACTTTAATTCATCTTTTTTAAAAACAGTACTCGGGATTGAACCCAGGGCCTTTAACCCATCTTTTTTTCAAAAAATATAAATGCTATTTCTGCAAAGAGGTCTATTAATACTTCAGTCTGAATTAGGTTCTTTCCATTATACTTTTAAAGACACATTGCTTTTTTTGGGAAACACTTATCAAATTTAAATCATAAGATATTCACTTGCATGAACACTTACCTAATGTCTATTTGCTTGCTATCTGGCCATATTTTTATTCACCACTGGGAATCCCTTCTGAGGAAATCCCTGGTGTCTCCAGTGAAGAAACTTGATGTATCTTTGCTGAATGGCAGTTTAGGCTTGATGCTATCAGGGAAGTCTCTCTTCTGCTTGGTGCCTCTGATCTGACACTTGATACCTGATGCATGTTTTCTGCTGCTAAGAATGATGCTCTCTAACATCGCCCCAACCCCCTCACAGCTCAAATGAGCTAGAATAGAGACCCTTTTCAATTCTGGAGATTTCTAGGACTTCCTCACTTGGCTTCTGTCTAAAGCTGCCCTGGACTGGGGTCAAGGAACTTGCATTTAGGTAACAGATGCAGACACTTTCTCTGATAAGAAAGTCCACTTCATCTTGTGCACCGGGGGAGAATTATCAGTACAGCATAAAAGTATCCTCTCTGGATCCTATTCTGATTTTATTTCATATGAATCATAAGAGTATTATTATTATTATTATTATTTTGGTTTTTTGAGACAGGGTCTCACTATGTAGTTGAGACTAACCTGGAACTCACTATGTAGCCCAGGTTGGTCTTGAACTCACAGCAATCCTCCTGCCTCAGCCTCTAGAGTGCTGGGATTATAGGCGTGCACCACCAGGCCCAGTACATAAGAGCATTATTGTGACAACTAATGGGCCAGCCCTCCTCCAGACTTATTGAGCAAAGTTTGTTGCCATCCAAGACAGTTGCATTTTTTGATATTGAAAATAATTTCATGAGGATGATTCTTAAGTCCACAACACATCAGCTAAGTGGTTTATTCCGCAAAGATTCCCAACATAAAACAGCTAAACAGAGTGAAGCTAATAATGGACAGAGAAACTTCAAAGAATGAAGAAAGCCAAAAACCATGCAAAGATGATTTCTAAGGAGCAAGCAAGAAAAAGAAAGACAAGGACAAAGAAAAGATGGTTAAGGAGGAAAGAGGTCTGAGAAGAGCTTCAGAAGCTGACATGACCAGAGGGAAGATATTAGTCCAAAATCCCACTGTCTTTTCTTTCAGTCTCTGTCCAAGGCTCATGTTCAAATTCAGCATCAGGTACTGCTCTGTGTGATTGTAGGTTGGCCACAGAGGCAGATCATTCCCATTGGGATTTCTGAAATTAAGAGCACACACGAAAGTAAGATGTTTCTATTCTCCAGCACCTGGCGTGGGGGAAGCAGGCTCACCTACCCACTCTGAGCAAAATTAGCCCAGTATCTCATCATCTTCCTGCCCATCAATTTCTCCTCTTTTGTAGCTCCTTCTGCAGGAGACAAACACAAATCCAGCTGCTCACAAGTATTCCTCAGAAGCCCAACATCCCTCCCATTTGATGAATTCTTGTTATACCTCTCCTCCTGCTCGAGCTTCACGAGCTTCACCAAGTCGTGGCACTCATTTCATAGATGCAGATACTAAAAATCCATGCTACTGTGCTTTGCCCAAGAAATTGTGGTTTCCAAATGACAGAGACCAAATGTACATCTTCCCTGTCTAACTCCTGTAGGTTCCTTGGGACCTGAGATTTCTCTGACTGTCTCTCTCTTTCTCTTTCTCTTTGTGTCACACACACAAATACACACACATGCACACACTCACACACTTTCACAAACAATTAATTACAAGTTTCCCTCAATTTCCCCAGGGGATTTGTTCCCAGATGTCCCTGCAAACATCCAACTATGTCCAAATCCCTTATATGGAATAATGCAGCTTTTGCATACAACCTATGCACATCCTCACTTGTACTTTGTCATCTCAACATTGCTTATAATACCTACCACAATGTAAATGACATGTATATAGTTGTTAGGCTGTGTTGTTCAGGGAATGATGATAAGGAAGGGTCTGTACATGTTTAGTACATATGCAGTTTTCCTCAATATTGTCGGTCTGCAATTGGTTAAAAGCACAGATGTAGAGAGGTAACTGTAGTGTATTTCTGTGTCTGTAAAGGTAATGCCTGACTAAAGTACAAAATCCAAAATGCAGGAAGAGTACCTAAGTCTAGTATCTAATAAAAATAAGTCATGTTCCCATCACTTCCTTATAGACAACCAGTTAACACCTCAGAGACAGCCATTGTAATACCCACTTCTCAAGCACCCCGACCCCAGGATAGGCTCCACAGGTTGTGCTGTAAAGGATGCACAGGTTCAGTGGACAGCTTTGTATACATTTGGCCATATACTGGGCACATGTACTGCATATTATTCTTTTTATTGAATTTGTGTCTAGGAGATGATTCTCAATTTTCCCCTGTAAAGCTGCCATTTGTTGTCCTATAAACATATATTAATTTCAAAAAATAGATGTGCAATTGTATTCATGTAATGTATGCATCCAATATTCTACTGATAGATCTTTACCTTATTTCCAGTCTTCTGTTGATTAAAACAATGTTTAGTGTGCACATATATTTTTGTACATGTGAAGTACAATCATACAAAAAAATCCTAGAAGTCGAATTTTCAAGCTAAAGATTACACACATTGACAGAGGTTTCTATTAATATGTGAAACTGTCTGTTTCCCATACCTGCTGGAATGCAATGTTTAAAACTTACTGTCTTTGAAATCTTGATTGATGACAAATAATTCTCCAGCCAAGGGTAGTCTACAAATCTTTTGCCAAGAGTGACATTGAATGAATTTTCATATCCTCAAAAGCCACTGTGTCTCCTCTTCCATAAACTGTATGTTTACATATTACCTCAACTTGGATCAGGCTGTCCTTCTCTACCTTTAGGAGCTCTAGGTATCAAGGAATTTAGCCCTTTGATACAGATTGTTGATTTCTTACAATTCAGAGAGGCTATATGCTAGAACATAGTTCAGGCTCAATAATGGCTGTTGGGTAAGAACAGTGACATTTATTAAACACTCATTGTGTACTATATGAAAACTGTGCCATTTCAGCCTCATGACAATGTGAAAGGTAGTACCATCACTATCTGTGTTATCAGGATGAGTAGAGAATATAAGGAATAAACTACAGCCCATAAATATTCTGTATGGGAGGATCCATCCTCATTGTCCAGAAGCCAGCAGGAGTTAGTAAAGAGCCTTCATTACATAATGTTTTAGTTAAATATTTTAATAATTATGCCTGCGTGTAATTTTCATGGAATCTTTTCTATCGATAGCCTCGTCTAATTGGTTGGCCATTTTAGGCACCAAGCTCATCAAAACCTCAAGAATAAATGAGCTATCATCATTAGTAAGAGTTCAAACTTTCATCTGGATGCAGACATGTTGAGCTGAAATTATTTAAAAGAGAGGGGGGTCTTGTCTTTTAAAGTCCTGGGTGTAAGCTTCAAAGGATTTCTAAGATGCACAGGGACAGTAAGACCAGTGATCACAGAAATGGTTCTACACTTGATCTTAGCCATAAGGCTGAGAAGCAATAGAAATAGTTCTAATTTTTTTCAAAACTTAGATCACTTGAATGTCCCAAAGTACCCACCTTTCAGGTTTCAGTACAAAATGAAATACTCATCTAGAAAACATTCACTGGCAGCTCTTCTCATCTTGGTCTCTGAAACATCAGAATGGGGATGTTTTCCAGACCATGTATATGTCTATCTATAAACCATGGTGGTGATTACATCACAACTCACCAGGCCTCCTGGGCTAACATTCTAAAGAGAATTATAGACTATTCTGGGCTGAGGAATCATTTGTTATCAATCAAGATTTCAGTGAAAAATGTATTTTAAACATTGCATTCCAGCAGATGTGGGAAAGTTTCATGCATTCATAGAAACCTCATTAACATTTAAAATGTATAGTTTTTATCCTGAGAATTCTACTTTACTTCTAGGATTTTTTGTATAATTAGACTTCCACAAGAGCAATAAACATGTGTGCAGCCTAAGCATTGATTTAACCATCAGAAGATTGGAAACAATGTAAAAACCTATCAATATAATAATAGATGCATGTATTATATATTTAAATATAATTATATAAGTATATATTAAATTTATGTACAGTATGTTTATAGAACAACAAATGGTAGTGGTGGGTAAGTCAGGAAACATATATTAGCATATATACTACCTCATTCCAAGTTCCATGTTCCTGCAAAGGCAGGGGCCTCTGTGGCCAGTTTCTTACCAAACATGACAATGTCACCCATCAGGAAGGCACCTCCAAAGACAAAGCATATTTCATCACAGTGGTCAGCTTTGACGAAGGCTGGTTTTGTGTCTTCAAAGCACTGGGGCCGGTGTTGAAATTCATAGAAGTAAACAGGTGCACCAGCATCTGACAAAAGGTCAGAAAGGTCAAACTTTCATTTTTGTTGGAGCAAGGGGCCGGCCCTTCATCCCTCCCTACAAAATCCTGGATTTACAGAACCATGAGTGGGATGACTCAGACATAAGAGGTGATCTAAACCAACCTAACTTTCCCCCTTTTCATTTGAGGCTGGAATTCTCTGCTATAGTGGCTCTGATCCACAACCTTTCAGGGCAGTTTGAGAAGGCACTTGTTCTTGTCAGCAAACAAAAGCCCTTCATAGTAAGCCAAGATCTACCTTATGATTTCCTCTCATTGACTCTCCTTCCAATGTCTAGAGATAAACAGGGTAAGACTAATTAATTCTCTGCTTCCAAGAAAACACAATCCAAACATGTGAACCTACATGGCTTGGCCTCTCTTCTGCCAAAGGTCTTTGCTCTGTAGTTTCCAACACACATGTGCACACATATACAAACAAACATGGACACAGTTGCACAATACACAGCCCTTCACATAGGCACACATTAACACGCGCGCACACACACACACACACACAAACTTGATTTCCACTACCCCTCCAATTGTTAAACAATTTCTCTGCATCTGTTCCAGAAATATCCCACAATATAGTTGCTGTCTTAGTGACTTTTCTCTCACTGAGACAAAATACCCAACACTCAAAGTTAAAAGGGGAAGGGTTTATTTGGCTTACAGTTCATAGAGGTTTCTGTCCATAATCAGCTGGCTCCAAGGCAGGGTGGCAAAGGGACAACGGTTCATGGTGGCAGAAGACACTAAAAACAAGGGACCTTAACAGCTTCTTTCTGCCTTTTTTATCCATTCCAGACTACAGGAGTTCGGGCAGTGCCAAACCAATCACTCATGTGTGGTGGCTTAGTGATCACACACCCTTAACCCAGCATCACACATTCCAGGTTTAGCCACCTCTGCAAAAGCCTATGACCACATGAGATTTTGTGGGAACATATAGACACAAACCATAACAGTTGCCTTGTGCATAATGTCTCTACTTCCTCTCCTCTTTTTCTCTTTTAAAATTGAAGTTATTTATGGGTGATAAAAAGTACAGATTTTAAATGCAGTGTATGGTGTGTTTTTACAAATATATACAGTCATGCACCACCTCCCCAGTCAGGACATAGAGTATTTTCACCACCCCAAAAGGTCCCTTCTGGTCATTCATTCAAGATACAGGCAATGTTCTCATTCCTATTACTATAAATTAATTTCACCTGCTCTTGAACTTCACCCAATGAAGTCAATTTCACCAAATGAAATAATACAATATGTACTCTATTATATACTTCATGGCTTCTTTTACTAGTCATAACTTTTTGAGACTCAAGCATGTTGTTTCAATAGTCAATTCCTTTTTGTCACTGACTACTATGTTATTTCATGAATATACGAAAATTTGTTTATTCATCTGATGATAGACATTTAGGTTTTCTTCAGTTGCTTACAGAAATATGAATAGGCATGTGTGAGTCTTTTGTATGGACATATACTTTCACCCTCGACTGAGTAACAAGAAACAAGATTATTGAACAGTCAGATAGGTGAGTTTAAACTTATAAGAAACAGAGAGTTTTTTAAGGTGGCTGTACCATTTCCCTCTCCTACCAGTACTTTCTGAGAGTTCTGAACATTCCACATTCTTGGCAATACTTCTTGGTATGATTTGTGTTTTAAACTTACCCTTTCACTAAGTATAAATGGTTACTTTGTTTTCAGTTTATTTTCCACTTCCTTGATGATTAATATTGTTGAATACTTTTCATGGGCTTTGAGAGGTTCCAGTATCTTTTGAGAGATCTTTTTAGATATTTTCCCATTATTGCAAAAGACTGTTTTGTTTTGTTTTTTAATGAACACAAGTTCTTCTATTCTGGATATGTTTTTTGTGAGATTGTATTGTGAATATTTTCTTCTGGTATGTGGCTTGCATTTTCATTTTTAGCAGTATATTAGGTAAAATTCACTTAACATAAAATTCATCACTTTAGCCATTTTACAGAACATAAGAAATTCAATGATTTTTAATACCCTGAGAATGTTGTACAAACATCAACACTATTTTTACCCAGAACATTTTTATCATTCCAAATAGAAATCCCACATCCATTAAGTAGTCACTCCATTTAACCTTCCCCTCAGGCCTTGGAAAACATAATTCTTGTTTCTAACTCTATGGACTTGCCTAGTTTGGACATTTCATATAAATAGAATCATACATAGGTGTTTTTATTTTTTTTGGTCTGGCTTCTTTCAATTAAAGTTCTCAAGATTCACTTATGTTGTAGCTATAGTTCATTTATAGGAGCACCTTTATATTAATAGTTTGCAACTTCAACACTGCACTTTCAATAACAGAATAGCTATACAAAATATAAAGAAAATAGAAGATTTAAGTGATACTATAAATCAGCTAGACCTTGTAGACATGGAAAGAACACTGCACCCAACAGGATCAGAGTCCATATGCTTCTTAAAAGCACACGGAATATTCTCCAGTATAAAACATATGTTAGTGCACAAAATATATCTCAACCAATTTAAAAGGATAGAACTCATACAGAACATTTTCTCTGATCATAATGGAGTAAAATAAGAAATCAACAACAAAAGGAAACCCGGAAAATGGGCAAATATTCAAAAATTAAATAGTATATTGTTTTATACATTAAAATTTGTGGTAAAATAAACATAAAAAATATTTACTAGTTTGACCTTTTTTAAAAGGACTATTCAATGAAATTACATGCACATTTTTACACAGCCATTATACCTCTACATCTTCAGAACTTTTGCATCACTCAAAACTGAAACTCTCTTCTGATTTTTTTTTCTTTATTGGTACATTTTAGTTATACAGTACAGTTTATTCATCACTGGGATCTTGTACCTTACATGACGTATCTTGGTTCTTATATTTTCCCCATTCCCCTGGCCTACCTCCCCCATTCTTCCCTATCTACAAAGACTTTGTTTCCATTTTTTTCCTTTTCTCATATTTTTTCTTTTCCCTTTGTACCTTTCCCCTTCCCCTCTCACTTTCCCTACATCTTTAGACGTTTTTTCTACACTATATCAATTATACATTTTGGTCCTTATTTACACTTTTGGTTTATCACACCAGAGAAACTATTTGGCATTTACACATGTGTGTCCTATTAATTTCACTTCACAGTATGTTCTCAATGTGCATCCACTTAGCTATAAATTTCTCTAGTTTCCCATTCTTTATGGCTTAGTAGTATTCCATTTTATTAAAACACACACACACACACACACACACACACACACACACATCTTCTTTATCCAGTCTCCTGTTGATGGGCAATTAGGCTGTTTCCAAGTTTTAGCTATTACAAACTGTGCCATTATAAACATGGGTGTGCATACATCACTGTGGTATGATTCTTTTAATTCTTTTGGAAAGATACCTAGCAGAGGAATAGTTGGATCAAATGGAACATCTAATCCCAGCTCTTTGAGGTAGCTCCATATTGATTTCCATAGTGGTTGCACCAGTCTGCACTCCCACCAACAATGGAGAAGGTTTCCTTTCTCCCCATAACCCCGCCAGCATTTGTTGTTGGTTGATTTCTTGATAGCAGCCATTCTTTCTGCAGTGAGGTGGAATCTCAGCGTTGTTTTCATCTGCATCTCTTGAATGACCAGTGATGCTGAACATTTTTTCATATGCTTATTTGCTGCTTTTACTTCTTTGTCTGAGAAATGTCTGTTCATTTCAGATGCCCACTTTTTTTTCAGCTTTAATTGAGTTTATTGGTACATTTTAGGGATACAGTACAGTTACATTCATTGTTGGGATCTTGTACCTCTACATGACAAGTCTTGATTCTCATTTTTTCCCCTTACCTCTGCCCTCCCTTCACCCAAGATGCCCACTTTTGAACTGGGAGAGTTCTTCTGTCTCTGCACTCAGTCATCAGTATCAACATTCTACTTTATGAGTTTATAAATTTGACTATTTTAGGTACCTCGTGTAAGTGGAGTCGTAGTGTTTGTCCTTTTGTGTCTAGCTTATGTCAGCACAATGCCTCAAAGTTCACCCATTTGAACTGTGCATCATGATTTCCTTCCTTCTAAAGGCTGATTTAGAGTACATCACATGAATATATTTGGTTTGTCCATTTACTCATTAATTGACATTTGGCTTGTTTCCACCTTTAGTTATTCTGCATAATGCTTCTATGAACATGGGTATACACATATCTGTTCAAGTTCCTGCTTCCAATTCTTTTGCGGGTATACCACAGGTGGAATTTCTGTATGATATGATAACTCTATTTTTAACTTTTTCAAGAGCAATTATATTATTTTCCATAGTGGCTTCATCATTTCCTTTTCCCATCAGCAATATACAAGCATTTTGATTTCTCCAACAATTATTTTCTGTATTTTTTTTAAATAACAGCTAGCAGGGTAGCTGGATACAAGGTCAACACCCAAAAATCAATAGCCTTCTTGCACACAAATAACAGACTCATGGAGAGAGAAATTAGGGAAACAATTCCTTTCACAATAGCATCCAAAAAAATTAAGTATCGAGGAATCATATAAAAAAAGAAGCAAAAGACCTCTACAATGAAAACTACAGCACTCTGAAAAAAGAGATCAAACAGACTATAAGAAAATGGAAAGACATACCCTGCTCCTGGGCAGGGAGAATCAACATAGTGAAAATGGCCATACTACCAAAAGTGCTATACAGATTCAATCCAATGCCAATTGAAATGCCAACACTATATTTCACAGAACTAGAAAAAAGAATCCAAAAATTCATTTGGAACCATAAGAGACCTAGAATAGCAAAAGCCAGCCTAGGCAACAGAGACATGGTAGCAGGTATAACAATTCCAAATTTGAAACTATACTAGAGAGCCACTGTGATAAAAACAGCATGGTACTGGCAAAGAAACAGACCTGAGGATCAGTGGAACAGATTGGAAGACATAAAAACAACTCCAGATGCACTCAGCTACCTCATCTTTGACAAAGGAGCTGACAGTCCCCACTGGAGGAAAGATAGCCTCTTTAATAAATGGTGTTGGAAAAACTGGATCTCAACCTGCCAAAGATTAAAACTGGACCCTTATCTTTCAATATGCAATAAACTAAAATCCAAGTGGATTAAAGATCTAAATATAAAAACAGAAACACTAAACTTGCTGGAAGATAAGTTAGGCAGAACTCTGGAAGACAATGGCATAGGAAAAGACTTTATGAACAAATCCTCAGTAGCAAAAGAACTAGCAGAAAGAATCAACAACTGGGATCTCATCTTATTAAAAATCTTCTGCACTGCAAAAGAAACCATCAACAGAACTAAGAAACAACCTACAATGTGGGAAAAAAATTTTACCAGCTGCTCCTCAGACAAAGGACTATTATCTAAAATATAAAAGAACTCAAAACATCTAGCCTCCCTAAATATAAGGACCCAATTCAAAAATGGGCATCTGAAATGAACAGACATTTCTCAGACAAAGAAGTAAAAGCAGCAAGCAAATACATGAAAAAATGTTCCACATCACTGGTCATTTCAGAGATGCAGATGAAAACAACACTGAGATTCCACCTCACCCCACAAAGAATGGCTGCTATCAAGAAATCAAACAATAACAAATGTTGGTGGGGTTGTGGGGAAAAAAGAACCCTTCTACATTGTTAGTGGGAGTGCAGGCTGGTGCAACCACTATGGAAATCAATATGGAGCTACCTCAAAGAGCTGGGACTAGAGGTTCCATTTGACCCAGCCATCCCTCTGCTGGGTATCTTTCCAAAAGAATTAAAAGAATCATACCAGAGATACATGCACACCCATGTTTATAGCAGCACAGTTTGTAATAGCTAAAACTTGGAAATAGCTCATTTGCCCATCAGTTAAACTGGATATATAGATACATATTGAGGATATACTCCTAAGTGAAATAAATAAGTCACACATGTGTAAATACCAAATAGTTTCTCTGGTGTGAATAAACTAAAATAGTACATAAGATCGTAATGATATAATAGACAATGTGAAATAGGAAGAAAGGGGCTAAAGGTGTAGAGAAAATGGGAAGGGTAGGGGAAAGCTAATAAGGGAAAAGAAAAAAACATAAGAAAATGAAAAAATGGAAATGAAGTGTTTGTAAAGGGGGAGGGGAGGAGGGGTAAAGGGAGGGCAGGGACAAGGGGAAAAAATGAGAACCAAGACCTGTCATGTAAAGGTACAAGATCCCAATAATGAATGTAACTGTACTGTATACCTAAAATGTATTGTATACCTAAAATGTACCAATAAACTCAATGAGGAAAAAAAATAAATAAAAATAAAAATAAAAAATAACAGCTATCTCAATTGAGTATGAGTGATATCTTATTATGATTTTTGATTTGCACCTCCCTAATAATTAGAGATGATGTGTGTCTTTTCGTGTATGTTATAGAGATTTGCATTCTTTTTAGAATAATTTACATTCAAGACCTTTGTTCTTTTTTGAATTGAATTTTTGTTGCTGATACTAAGGAGTTCTTTATATATCATTCACATTTGTTCCTTATAGATATATGGATGGTTAGCAATATTTTTCCAAATTTGTGGGTTGCCATCTTACTCTATTGATCATTATATTTTTTTCTGTCCTTTTTCTCTCTCTTCTTCTTCTTCTTGATCACTTATGCATACATAAGTATGTGCAATGGTGACCCTCAAGATTCTTAGGACCTGCTCATCCCCTTAATTCTTTCTTCTTCTAGATTGGGTAATCTCAGATGACTTACCTTCATATTTTCTTACCTCTTCTTCTGATTGTTCAAGTTTGCCATTGGCCCTCTCCAGATTATTTCCCATTTCAGTTTTGAAGTTTTCCATATGAAAACTTCACTCTGAAGTGAAGAAATCCCACCCCAGAATATCTATTGGATTTATTTTAATAATTTTATAAATTCTATTTATATTCTCTCATTGTCCTCATGATTCCCTTTCATTTTTGTACATGATTTTCTTTAGCTATCTGAATATTTTTAAAATAATAGATATAGTCTGCCCAGTAATTCCAATGTCTGTATTTCTTCAATGACAGTTTCCATTCATTTCTTTTATTTTTGTTGTTTATGGGCCATACTTTCTTGTTTCATTGCCTACTAGTTTTTTATTAAAAACTAGATATTTTAATATTATAATATGGAAACTGTGTACATGAGATTCTACTCCTGCCCCAGGGTTTGTTTTATGATTTTTGTGGTTGCTACTGTTTGTTTACTAATATCTCTGCACTAATTTTCTAAATTCTGTATTCTTTGTTATACGTGACCACTTTGTTGTTTGAGACCTGTGTCTTCTGTTAGCTTAGTGGTCAGCTAACATATCAGTTGAAATTTTTTTCACAAATGTCTGGAATCAATCAAACAAACAAAAAACTCAGTCATTTCAGTATCTGTGTGTGTGTGTGTGTGTGCACATGCGCATGCACGCACATGTGTACATGTTAGAAAACTCCTTTAACACTTGGCCAGGTAGCTTAGAGTTCCACTTTAGCCTTAACTATCTGCTTGAGCAGTGCCTGAGGGTCAGCTCCGATATGAGAGCTAGGGACTTCTGAGGCTTTTTCTGACCATGTTTCCCACTACAGACATGCACACAGCCTTGTACATGGCCTTCTAGATTCCCAAAAATATGTAGGGACTTTTCAAGTCTTTCTTCTCCAAAGTTTCATTGTTCAGCTTTTTCTCTCAACATTTTCGGCTTGTTTATTGTTTTCCCTATCTGAGATCCTTTGTTTCTGATTGCAGAAACTAATATAATTACCTTTAAATGTTTCTAATAGGCACCTTCAAGGTTGCTGCCCACCCATAATAGACTTCTAATTAGTGTCTAATAAAGGCAAGCCATTTAGGGAGACAGTCATTTTAGGCTAGTCATTTTGGAGTCACTAGACAAGTCAAACCAATCAACCATAATTCTTTAAGAATAACTTTGATTTTTCTCCCTCCAGTGCTAAGATACTACACAATTAATGTGGGTTGCTCTAGTTCAAGGTCATTGCCTTACCGGGTAGCAGAGGATGCTTCAAGAATAAAAGAAAATGCCACAGAATCTTATTACTGAGACTCAGGGGGTTATGTCTTAGTTAAATGTTTGCCTACTGGCTAAAAATGTTTAATTTTTTTCCAGGGCTCTAACAGAACTACTGGTTCTTGCCTATTTATTCACTATTTTTGTGGGATGTGGCTGATGAAATTTTGTATTTCTTCATTCTTGTTGGCCTCATTAATAACATCTTTTAATAAGCAAAAACAGTTTTCTTATGCAAAATTTCAGTTTATCTATTTGGTTCTACAATTAATCTCAAATTATTAGTATGTATGGTGTGTTACTGATTATGGTTTATTTTTTTCCACATATATATCCAGTTATTCCAACTCCAGTTCCTCACTGCATAAAAGTCAGTCTATTTTCTGGACACTTCACTCTCTTCTCTTGTCCTATGTGTCTATCCTTCAGCCAATATGAAACTTTATCTACTATAGCTCAGTGATAGACTTCCAACTTTTTTCAAGAATTTTTGGCCATTCTTGTATTTCCATATAAATTTTAGGATTAATTTGTCCATTTTCCAAAACTGTTGCAAAGACTTTGATTGAGAATAGGCTTGCATTGAATCTAGATCAATTTCTCCATTTCTCCTGAACCCATTTTAATCAACCTTTTACTCCCCTATCATTCCCAAGTAGTCTTTGTCAAGGTCAGCAGTGAAATGATGAAGGGAAAAGAATAGAAACAAGAGCTAATTGATGTTCTCAACCTCTGAAAGGCAGAGGATAGCATAGGTCAGCATTGAATATTTCGACTGCAAGCATATATGAGAACTCCCTCTCAGTGAGGGAACAAAGGGACACAGCAGATAGCTAGTTAGTCGGCAACTCAGATCCCTGAACCCAGCAGCCTCACTGGACTGTGTCCCTGGAGTGTGCCCTTCGTAGACTCACCTCTGTGATATCGAGCTGTGACCAGCCCAGGGACCACAAACAACACATCTCCAAGCAAGTCCAACAAACTATCTCGGACTTCAATCGGGGAGTGCTTTTCAGGGAAATATTCATTAGCCACAGCATGCAAATATGGGATGGGGATGTGCTGTAGAAAAACAAATCATGATCATAGAAGATCTAAATCAACAATAATGGCCAGCACCTTAAGCATTAGCCCAAGCAAACAAAATTCTGAGTGTTTTCGTGCTTTCCCTCATTTAATCCACATAGCAGTTCTATGATGAAAGTATTAAAATTAGCTCTACTTTACAGAGTCTTAGAGAGATTGATCCAAATTCTTTCACAATCTGTTTGCCTTCAAATCCAGTGCTCCTGACCACAGTACACGTGCCTCTATATCATGGCGATGTTTTTAGGAGATATGTTACTGTGGGGAATTCTGGACAACTTGCTCATACTTAAACTATTAACACTGTGCAGTGGTGCTTTTGGTAACCTAATTTTTGGTAAGCTTCTTTGGGCTTTGGAGGAGGCTACATAAACCACATCTAAGAGAGTTGTTCAGGCTCATTTATCAGACCTCCAGAAGGCTAATGATTCTTAATCAGGCCCAAAACAAAGAAGGATTTCTGCAGCAGGTGCAGGCTGTGTGGTTCAAGAGCCTAACCACTTGGACCACATGCCCAGTAGGCCTCGTGGTGCTAAAAGCACCCACACTGGGTAGAGAGACTGTCTGGAGTCTCTGTTAAGTCCCTGGACAACAGTCCCAGGGCAAACTGCTAAGGTACTGGAGTAGGGCTATGTTTCTGCATCAGAGAACTAATTACTATTTGCAAAGTAACTCCTGGAATGCCAGCAGGCCTAAGTGAAATTGCATGTCTTTCCTTTCCTCTTGCACCTTCACAGACAACCTACTTCCAACGCCTGGGACTTGGCTCAAGATACTGTCTCTCCTTGATGTGCTCTCCTGCTCCAATGTCTCCCACCTCTAAAGTCCAGATCAATGACCATCTCCTCTACAAGGCACTGCCAATTCAGCAGGAGAGATTCCACGTTTATACTCCTACCATAGTGTTAGCAACTGCAAACATCCTGTCCTGCTACATGAAACCCCTTTAGCTGATCTCCTCATACCTCCTACACCCAGTTGGTTCTCATGGTTCCTCCCAAGCTCTCCTCATTGTTACACTTCCTAAATTCTTCGCCCCAAAGGCGCCACTGCCTCGTGCTGTGGGCACCATGGGCCTGGGACTCTCCTCTGCTCTGGCTCATCACATGCACTGTCTTGTCCATCCACCCCACACTGCACTCCAGTGCCTTTGGAATTGCTGGGGTGTGTGGGTCTCAATAAACATGCATTCCTAATGTAGCTGAACTGTCTACCTAGAATGTACCAATAAATTAAATTTTTTTTAATCTAAAAAAAATGCATTACTGAATCAAAGAATGAGATGAATCTAGCACTGAGTAGGTGCTGAATAATGTGTATGGAAAGAACACAGAAGGAAGTAGAGTAGAAAAGAAGGAAAGGAATTTGTCTCTACAACCTAGTGTCTAGAGCCAGGGCTTTTGTGTTCATGTAGTAAGAGAATGAGCAAACGACTAAGTAATAAATGAGTGTGAGTGAATTTCTGGTATCATTGGAATATAATATGAGGCTGGGCTGATATACAGTGACATGGGCCTTGAGTTTCATGTGTGTGTGTGTGTGTGTGTGTGTGTGTGTGTGTGAGTGTGTGTGTGTATGTGTGTGTCAGAATTCAGAACTTTTCAAATCATAGATAATTCGGAGCAAATGTCACACATGAAACATGTTTGAGGAGGCAGCACCACATTGATATGTTTGCCAAGAAACAAGAGTAGTAGAATGCATAAAGTGAATGAAGGTGTGGGAACAGAAATCTATGGCACATATCAAGCTGAGTCAGATTTGGCTGCCATATGGTTACAAAATGCCTTCAGATTTTTGGAGCTCTTAGCATTTTGGGATTGTGCATATGTGATTGAAGACATTTACAGAGGAAAGGCCTACTGAATTAATTAATGGAGAAGAAATGTCTCTACATTTTGTGCTCATGATGAATGTGGCCCTGGAATGATGGTTGAATGAACAAGTCTCTGGAGAGTCACCAATACCCAAGTTCACTTACCAGGAGAGAGTGTATCATGTGAAAGGTAAGAGATATGCTGGAACCACTAAGGATCTCAGGAATCTCCTGCTGCAGAGAGAAGCACAGGGTCATCTGTGAGTCATCTGGTCATCAGAAAGTAAACCACTCTTTTGAGAGCCCAAGCACCTGATTTTCCAGCGGAGGAGAGAAGGAACAAAAATTATTTCAGCCCAAGGCAGCTATATGTAGATGCAGCTTGGATGAGTTAATCAAGCAATGAATTCCTTCTCATGATTGATAAAAAGCAGTCATTTCTTGTCATATCTTGATTTTGTGGGGCACAGGTGTCCATTTTGTAGGAAAGCCCATGTTATTGGCTCAATCATGTCCTCCTCCCAAAATTTTTGTGTGCTAATACTAAAACCCAGGATCTCAGAATATGACTGTTGAGGTAGGGCCTTTAAACAGGTGACTGCATTAAAAGGGGCAATCAATGTAGGTCCACATCTGATCTGACTGGTGTCCTTATAAGAACAGAAATTCCAGACACACAGAGATACTAGAAGTTCAAGCATACAAGAAGAGACCACATAAAGACACAGCGAGAAGATAGCATCTGTAAAATGGGGGGGTCCCCTACCTAAATGGGCTTTGACAATATTATGAATTTTCTCTCTCCAATCTACTGTGGACAAGAGAGTATTGCAAAGATCTTTCTAAACCGCAGACTCCAGAAATGATGGCTCTTTCTCTGTATCCAGGACTCAGTTCAGTGATCACTCCTCAGAGGAACATTTCCTAACACTCTTTGACCTCCCTAAAGCATCTCTCTCTCCCCACTAAGTCCTTCATAGCTTTTATCACTTTCTGAAATCATCTTTTCAACTGCACTTTTTATGATTCACCCCTCACAAATGTAAGCTTACACAGTGGAAACCTCATGACTTGTTCACTACTCAGTGCTCCATTTTATAAGCATATAGTAAATGCTCAGTACTATATCTACTTGCCAAATGAGTAAAATGATTTAATAACTTTGCCACTTGTAAAACTTTAGTTTTCTTAGAATTCAAAATATCTGGACCAAGTCTGTATATAAAAAGTTAAAAGGACTGAAGTTTTCCAAATGTATGTGAATTTCAGCTCTGAAGTAGTAGCTATGTTTACTGGAAACAATCATATGTAATGTTTTGTAATAAAGACTAAAAGAGCCAGGCATGGTGGCACAGGCCTGTAATCCCAGAACTAAAGAGGCTGAGGCAGGAGGATTGCTGCAAGTTCAAAGTCAGCCTGGGCTACACAAAAAGACCCTGTCTCAAACAAAATAAAACAAAACAAAAGACTAATGAATTCAATTATGTCTTTCCTTTTTATATAGCATCTTCTTTTCTTCTTTTTCTTCTTCCTTTTTTTTTTTTTTTTTTTTTTTTTTTGAGTCGGAAATCTAATTTGTGCTTTTCTGT